AAATGGTGATTTGATGTTTTCAATAGGTTCGTATGGTGATTGTGAACTTAGGTGTTTATCTAGATTTAGATTTGGAGGTCCCTAAGTTGATTTGGTTCTATTTGGTGAAAGTGAAAAATTTGAAGGTTTGGAAAGTTCATAGGTTTGACCGGGTGTTGAACTTAAGGCTATCGGGTTTGGATTATTGTTCCAGGAGTTCGAACAAATTCTTTATGTTTTGGGACTGGTTGATATGCTTGTACGGGGTCCCGAGGGGTTCAAGTGTATTTCTGGATGGTTTCGCATATTTCTTCATTGTTTTGGATTGCTGTTTTTTTGCTGAGTTAGAGTGCTCCGCGATCACGGAGCTAGTCTCGCTATTATGGAGAGGAGATATGAGGCAAAGGGATTTTTCCTCTTCGCATTTGAAAAGCAGGTATTGCATTTGAGGAGAGGAGGGAGATAAAGCACCGCGATTGCGTAAAAGGGATGCGTTCGCGAAAGAAAGATGCCGGGGGGGAGGGGGGGATGCCTTCGCGTTCGCGGAGCTAGGCTCATATTCGCATAGACCCAGCAGGTGGTTAGGCATCACGTTCGCGTAAGGGCTTCGTGTTCGTGAAGAAGGGGCGGCAGCTGGTCTTGAATTTGGCCTTCACGATTGTGAAGTGGGTACCGCGATTGCGAAGTGTATAACTAAATAGAAGTATAAGATGTCATTTTCGGGACTTTGAGCTTATTTTATCATAATTTGAGATTGGAAGCTCGGATTGAGGCAATTTTCACCTACTTGGATTAGGTGAGCATTCTTAACTTAGATTTGATTATTATTCATGATTCCATCCTTGAACTTGGTAGTCAATTGATGAATCTAAGTGAGAAATTAGGGGTTTTGGCAATACCTTTCTAAATGAGAAATAGAACCTCGATTCTAGTCGGATTCAAATGAAACTTGTATGGTTGGACTCGTATTCGATTGGGTAGTCGGGATTTTTTTGTCGGATTCTAGCAGGCGGGCCCTGGTTATTTTTGGTTGACCTTTTGATATTTGATAAAGCTCGGAGCTTTATTACTTGGAATCTATTTCTATAGCTGTGTTTGATGTTGTTTAGTTGGTTTTTGCTAGATTTGACTCGTTCAAAGGCCGATTTGAGAGGCAATGGCTTTTTGAGTATTGACTTGTCTTGTTTGAGATAAGTATCTTGCCAACCTTTTGTGGGAAAATACCCCTTAGGATTTAGCCTTAATTGTTATTCATGTTATGTGAAAAGCGATGTGTACATGAGGTGACGAGCGTGTGCATGGGTATTATGTGTGGCTTATGACCAGGTTAGACCTTAGTCTATAAATATGCCTTAATTTTGAAATGTGCTCTATATGAAACATGCTTAATTACTTTGTGACTACATGAATATGATCTTATCAATTGATTTAGCCGTAGTCATGCTTTATATGTTGAACACGCATCCACATTTTTATTGTTTTCATGTCCTTGTACATCTTGTTGATAAATTGTAGGCTTATATTTTGATGAAATTTGGCATTATTGATTTTGTGATTATTGTGGCACATGTGGACATGTTGAGAAGATTGTTTGGGTGTTGGCACGAGGTTTTTGCCGTACAATTATAATTGATGTTGTGTCAGGGCAGAGCGATACGGTGGGATATTATTATTGTGTCAGAGCAGATCGATATGATACTGTGGGATATTGCTATTGTGTCAGGACGAAGCAATACGGTGGAATATTGTTATTGTGCCAGTGCAGTGCGATACGATGTGATATTTTCATTGTGTTATGGTGGAGTGATAAGGGTGGAAATTCTTATTGTGATACGACGTATCCTATGTTTGTGTTTTTATTTGATGACTTGTTGTCAAGTTAAACCTTTACTTGCATTGAGCTTTTATTTTATGTTCCAAAGAGATTGTTGGTGTTGTTTTCCTGTTATATATTCTGTTGCCAGTCTTTAATATATTGCATAGGTTTTGACTAGTGAGTATCACATGAGTTGAACCTCGTCAGTATTTCATCAAGGTTAGTCTTGATACTTACTAGGTACCGATAGCGGTGTACTCATACATCACTTCTGCAGGTTTAGTACAGATCCAGGTGTTGAAAGCAGCGGACTTATGCAGTAAGAGTTGGCATTGATCGCGAGGGTTCAAGGTAGAGTTGCATGACCGCCGCAGTCCCTTGGAGTCCCATCCCTATATTTTGTACTGTTATTTTCATATCCGAATAATATTGTATTGTGAGACATCCTTATGTATTCAGTTAGAGCTCATGATTCTATACTACCTAGTTCTGGGAAGATGTTTGAGTATTGCTATTTTTTGGCTAATGTTAAACCTATTTATACTTTCATATTAAATCATGTCTTGTTATATCATATTTCTGCTCATTTAAATATTGTTAAGTGATTAACTTACCTAATTTTAGAAAATAGGTGCCATGACGACCCCTATGGTGGAATTTGGGGTGTGACAGTATCTACGGGATGATATTTTTAGGAATCACCTATGTAAGTGTGAAGTGTTAGCCGCTTCAAGGAAACTTTTGTAAGGCCAGTTCTCTAGGCACTTATGAAAGTAGGCAGTGTTCATGGCTGAAACAAATACAACAATGAGAACCGAAGACGGTAAAGGATTGATTATGTGACTTATGGTTGTCTAGGTGTAAACAAAATTTCGATGGTTCAAAGATAGCAAATCTACCGGTTGATCGAGTATATCAGACATAAGTCCACCACGGAATTTTCAAAGGGAAACCTACTTATCCAGATGCAATTAATCCTTGGTCGCGAATCACAAAGTCTTTTATGCATATTTCCATTGTATATCCATTCCCCATTCATGTGGGGAATTCTTGGATTTTTAGTTTAAAAATGAGGTGAATCGGGGCTTAGTCTCATTTTATCACTTTTTGAGCCCTAGACTCGGTGTGAGTCGATTTAGAGGAGAGATTTTCATACACAATCATTGGGTAAGTGATTTTAACTCAATTTTGATTATATAACATGATTATTTATGAGTTTTAACATCTAAAGCATGAGATTTGAAGAGAGTTTTTGGGGATATTTTACTATGTTTTGAAAAATGTAGATTTGAAATTTGAGAGTCTAATTGAACTCGGATTTGAAAAATAATACATAAATGGACTCGTGGGGTTATGCGTAGTTAAGACCTACCCTTCGACTCGGGTTTTGACCGGGCGGGCCCAAGATTGACTTTTGTTGACTTTTGAGGAATGGTGTAAAGATCTTAACTTTATTAATTGAAATTGAATTCTCTTTCATTGATTGATGATATTATGTCATTTTTGGATAAATTTGAGCTGAGCGGAGGTAAATTTTAAAGAAAAAGCATTTTTAGAGTATTGATTGAGGGCTTTTGAGGTAAGTGTCTTGCGTAACTTTATTGCGAAATTTTTTCTAATAAAATGGTGTTGTTTGCTACATACGGGGGTGATGTATATGAGAGGTGACGAGCGTATATGCATGTGCTAGGGTTATACATGCTCGGGGGTAGATTATATGATTCCTTGTGCCTTGTAGGACTATGTGATTTTCTTGCCTCATGTTTTACTTGACTTCTATTATAATATGAATGTAAATTTCAACACTAGAAATCATGATTCGGCTTGTCATAACTAGATTAAATTTGACGGCCCTTTTTGTGAAACTGTTGATATGCTAAATTCGATCATCACTATACCTAATCACGATTACATGTCTATGACCGTAGTTCTAAGGTACTTGGGTTACATACTTACGTTGAAAAACATGTTTGAGTTTTATTGAGATACTTGAACAATGAGGTTCTTGAGGTTGTTGAATTGTTATTGGCTTGAGAGCTATGATTGATGTTTACTTGGTGTATTTGTTAAATCACTCTTCCTTATGTTATCCATGCTTCCTTCCTTGCTCATCACTATTATACATATATTTGGCGAGAAAGAGTGTAAAGAATGAAGGATGATGTCGTGCTATTGCATATAAATTATCATATGAGGAACAGTGTAAAGCACGATGGGTGATGTCGTGCCATTTCATATACTTTATTATGCACGAAGGATAATGTCGTGCTATTATTTTACATTATCATGTAAGGAAGAGTGTAACGCATGAAGGGTGATGCCGTGCCATTGCATATACATTATCATGTTAGGAAGAGAGTAAAGTACGAAGGGTGATGTCGTGCCATTACATATATATTTATGTCTTTATTTCTAGTTGTAATTGTTGCACCAATGCTTTCTATGTGACTTGTTGCCGTTGTCACGTCTATGATTCCTACCTTAATTTTTATTGTGCAATGTATGTTTAATATTTGTTTATCTGGTCACAATCATGTTTTCCGTCTTGTTTGTCATATTTACATCTATGCCTTTTCCTTATTTGTTGTGCTCTCGTCTAAACCTTCTACTTTGCTAGATAGTGAAACTTATGCTCTCTACCTTAATTGCTATCATTGCATCTGTGCCTTCCACCCTGTCTGTTATAGTTGTTCGTGTGATCTGCCTTGTTCGTTATTACTACCTATGTATTTTCCACTTCCCTGTTGCTTTTGTTTCATATGGTTGGTACTATTATGTATATCTTTGGTGAGGATTAGATAAATATACGAAGGGTATTATCGTGCTATTTGATTTGACATACATTCATATATTTGGTAAGGATGAGATAAATGCACGAAGGGTGTTGCGTGCCATTCGACTAGATATCTTGCACACATTCCTCATACTATGAAAATTCGTGAATTTACAATGTAGATTGGTGGTTATCGTTTTAAGAAAAGGTTTGTTTTCTCAAACTGAATTTGTAATCTTATTCGTAGTCGCTCGTGACTTGTACTACCAGTCTTTGGGAGGTTGTATTGAATTCAGTCATTTTATTTCTTATTATGAATAATCTATCATTTTGGTTAGCTTGTTCTATGTTTGGCTTACCTAAGATTAGGGTTTGGTGTCATCACTACTAGGTGGTTTTTGGGTTGTGACAATATCAATCTCGGTCTCCCAATTAGCCACCTCGCTCGACTGGGCTCTCTAAAGAACCTTCCCTGACTCGACCTCTTTGGACCTGAGCTTCCGAACTTGCCTATCCAAAATGGCCACTGGATCGTCTTGTAAGCCAGGTTCTCATCCAACTATATTGTGCTGAAGTCCAAAACATCGACTTATTTCTATGATACTTTTGAATCATAGAAATGTGAAATACATGATAAACTCCTGAAAGACCAAGAGACAAAGCAAGTCTATAAGCAACATAGCCAACTCTCTCCAACAGCTCGAATAGACTAATAAGCCTCGGACTCAACTTGACTTTCTTCCCAGACCTCATCACGCACTTCATAGGCAAAATTCTAAGAAAGACCTTCTCACTCTCCAAAAATGCTACATCGCGAACCTTCTTGTCCACACAGCTCTTCTTCCTGGACTGAGCTATGTGAAGTCTCTCCTGAATCAACTTCACCTTCTCCAAAGCATCATGGACCAAGTCTGTACCCAACAATCTAGCATCACTAGGCTCAAACCAACTGACTGGAAAGCGACATCGCCTACCATATAAGGCCTCATATGGAGCCATTTCAATACTAGACTGGTAGTTGTTGTTGTAAGCAAACTCCGCCAATGGTAGGAACTGGTCCCAGTGGCCTCCAAAATCAATAATGCAGCCCTCAACATATCCACAAGGATCTGAATGGTCTGCTTGGACTGTCCATCTATCTATGGGTGAAATACAGTGCTGAGCTCCACCCGTGTGCCCCAACTCACGCTGAACAGCCCTCCTAAAGTTCGATGTAAACTGAGTATCGTGGTATGAAATGATAGAGAGGGATACACCATGCAAGAAAACAATATCTCAGGGGTAGATTTGAGCCACCTTCTCGGAAGTGTAAGAAGTCATATCCAAAAGGAAATGCGCTGACTTAGTCAACCGATCAAAGATGACCCAAATGGCATCAAACTTCCTCAAAATTGGTGGCAAACCTACCATAAAGTCCATAGTAATGCGCTCCCACTTCCACTTTGGTATATCAATATTTTGAAGCAAACCACTCAGTTTTTTATGCTCATACTTGACCTGTTGGAAATTCAAACACTGCGAAACATGCCCAACAATGTCCTTCTTCATCCTCCGCCACCAGTAATGCAGCTTCAAATCATGATATATCTTTATTGCACATGGGTGAATAGAACACCGCGAACTGTGAGACTCCTCAAGAATCAACTCTCTCAATCTATCAACATTAGGAACAAAATTTCGACCATGAAGTCGTATAAAACCATCATCCCCAATAAACACTTTCTTAGCACCATTTCGCTGCACTGTGTCTTTAAACTAACAATAAGTGTGGATTATCATAATAGCGAGCCTTGATACACTCAAACAAGGAAAATTGTGCAACAACACAAGCAAGAACTATGCTATGCTCAGAAAAATCCAATCCCACAAATCTATTGGGCAAGGCCTGAACATCTATATCTAAAGGCTTCTCTAGAGCTAGAATAAATACCAAACTCCCCATGCGGCCTTCCTACTCAAGGCGTCCCTACCACATTTGCCTTACCCGGATGATAGAAAATAGTGATATCATGATCCTTCAATAACTCCAACCACCTTTGTTGTCTTAATTTCAAATATTATGTTTCAACAAATGCTGAAGACTTTGATGATCGATGTAAACCTCACATGATAAACAATATAAGTAGTGGCTCCAAATCTTAAGCGCATGCACAATGGCCGCCAACTTCAAATCATGAACCGTATAAATCTTCTCATGGGGCTTCAACTGGAGCGACGCATAGGCAATCACCCTACCGTGCTGTATCAACACACACCCAATGCCAACACGTGAAGCATAACAATATACTGTATACATCCCTGATCCTGAGGGAAATACCAAAACTGGAGTTGTAGTCAAAGCAATCTTGAGCTTCTGAAAACTCTCCTCACACTCGTCAGACCATCTAAATTGAGTGCCCTTCTGAGTCAACTTGTTCAATGTGGCTATGATAGATGAGAACCCTTCAATAAAGCGATGATAGTAGCCAACCAAACCCAAGAAACTCCTGATATCTGTTGTTGTAGACAGTTTAAGCCAACCCTGAACTGACTTAATCTTCTTCTGATCCACCTTGATCCATCACTAGACACCACGTGGCCCAAGATTGACACCGAATCCAACCAAAACACACACTTGGAGAACTTAGCATACAATTATTTTTGCCTTAGAATATGAAGTACAATCCTGAAATATTGCTTGTGCCCTTTCCTACTACGGGAATATACTGAGATATCATCAATGAACACAAAACAAAAGAATTCAAATAAGGTTAGAACACACTGTTTATAAAATGCATGAAAGATGTTGGGGCATTAATCAAACCAAAAAGACATCACCAAGAACTCATAATGCCCATAGCGAGTCCTGAAATCCGTCTTAGGGATGTCTAAATCCCTAATATTCAATTGATGATAACCCAATCTCAAGTCAATCTTTGAGAACACCTTGGCACCATAAAGTAGATCAAACAAGTTATCAATGTGAGGCACTGGATACTTGTTATTGGTGTAAACTTGTTCAATTGCCTATAATCAATGCACATCCTCATGGAACCATCCTTTTTCTTCACAAACAACACCAGTGCACCCCATGGAACTATCCTTTTCTTCATATCTCTATCGGGTGGCATGCCTGGTAGGTATGTAGGAAACACATCTGGAAACTCTCTTACTATGGGAACTGAATCAACCATAGGAGGATAAATACTGACATCTCTAATAAAGTGCCAGACACGCCAAACACCCCTTTCTCAATTATCCATTGAGCCTTTATAGATAAAATAACCCTACTAGAAGTATGATCAAAAGAACCCATCTATTTCAACCTTGGCAATCCCGGCATAGCCAGCGTCACGGTGCTAACGTGACAATCAAGAATAGCATGGTACGGAGATAACTAATCCTTACCCAAAATCACCTCAAAGTCAACCATATTAAGCAACTGAAGATCAACTCTAGTGTTAGAACCCCCAATAGTAACCACACAAGAATGATATACATGATCCACCACAATAGAATCATCGACAGGTGTAAATACATGAACAGTAATATCAAGGATACTACAAGTCATACCCAAATATGATGCAAAGTAAGATGACACATACGAATAAGTAGAACTCGGATCAAATAATATTGAAGCATCTATTTGGCAAATTGAAACAATACATGTAATGACTGCATCAGATGCAACCGCCTCAGGCCTACAAGGGAAAGAATAACAACAGGCTTGGCCTCCACCTCTTGGACAGCCTCTACCTACTTGACCTCCACTTCTAGTTGGATGTGTAGGTGGTGTGCTAACTGGTGCGTGAATCATAGTCTAGCTGCCCTGCAAAGGTATACTCATCTAAAGTCTGGGAAAATCTTGTAAGGTCCCATAAATGTTCGCCACGGATTTGAGGTTTTTGGTGCCAAGGTAAGCTAATGTGCTCGGAGGGCTGTAGATAATTTTTCCGCAATACGGATATTTGGACTTGCAATGCATCAAGGAGTTGGTGGAAACTTGTTGCATAAAATGACAATTATGTGGTCCATTTTGCGACCGCAGATCTGTTCCACTGGCCGCAAAACCATCGTGGAGTGAACCAATCGATCGCAAACTTGCCTAGGCCAACCCAGATTTTTGGAGACCATTTCGCGGTCTAATTCGCATACCGCACATCCCTTCTGCGACGCATTTCGCGATCGCTAATTTGATTTATAGGGGATTTTTTGAGAATTTCTTAACTGACTCTATTTTTATATAAGCCTTAAGGGGGGTCATTTTGAGCGAGAATCAGCTAATTTTTAGGAAGGAAAGACACTCTAGAGAGAGGGGGTAGCTCCAACCATCTTATTCTTTAATTCTTGCTCAATCTTGAAGATTCAAGGAAGATACTCAATAGGTCTTCAACCAACCAGGTAAGTTCTCACCCTTAAGCTTTCATGCAATGTTTGTAATGGGTTTAAGTATGGATTTTATCATTTTGGTGCTTATGGGATGGTGATCGGAGTCATAAGCCCTCAATTTTGAAATTTGGGGGTATGAGAAGAATTTGAGGTGTGGTTCTTGATTTGGGGGTGTGTCGTTGGGCATGCATGTATCAATAAAGGTGATATGGAGGTTGTTGAACTATCGTGGGTAGATTGTTTTTTGTAAATTGGTTGTGCAGAGAGGGAATTCCATTATAGAACCTTGTAGTCGATCTTGCACTTAGTGTTTGATAAAATGCCAATAATGGTTAAGCCTACGAATGCCTCCCTAATAATTTTTCAATTTGATTATGTATCTATAGATTAAATAGCTAAGAGTAGGGGGAATGTTATAGTAATTCTAAGGAAAAATCAATCGAGGTATGTTGGCTAAACCCCTTCTGTAGAATCAGATTCCATGAATTCCTCGTAACTTCAATTATGTTTTGATCAAGTTTCTATTCCTATTGTTCCAAATAGCCTTTATGGTTAATTTATCCAAATGCTTATGATTTTAGCTCATGTTTCGATTGCATTATGCTCTCTTTTGAGAAGAACATTCAATGTGTTTAAGACTCTTATTACTCCTGTATATAAATTCATGATTTCCAAATGTTCTTCATGTTGATGGCTTGTGATGATCCTTGAAAGTGAAGAAATGATAACATGAAATATGAAATGTTGCCATCATGCCAAGAATATAGAATATCATGTATGGCCAAGAGTGCCAATGGAATGAAAAGAATTATAAAAATTCTATGAGATGCATACTTTTCTTTTATATAGAAACTGTTTTGGGAGTATCGTTAGATCACTGAGGAAGGCTGTGTTATAAATGCCCAGGCCCAAAACTACACATGCTGGTGTAGGAGTTGATTAAGGGGTGATTCCCCATTATATTATATTGAGATTATTTCCCTTGATTGGGATGATTTGATAGCAAGCACGGAGCATGTCGACCCACACGATATTATGGTGGGACGGCCCCCGATCGGGCGGAGATCGAACGCCATACCGCGCACATGATGGTACTATGTTTCTATGTCCACCCTCATACATTGGGGTGAGACATCTTAGGCGATCGGGTAGAGGTCGGACTCCATGCCATATGCATGGTGGTATGTCGGTACTAAGGATCTCTCAACCTAAAATGATAATGCTTACTTAAAGTTTTACTTTGTTTTAACTTGCCATTCAAATATTATTTTACTTACTGCTTCCACGTTTCTTTCCTTTTATGTTGGCATTCCATTCTATGAGAGGGTATTTGGCTTTACATACTAGTACTATTCCATATGTACTAACGTCCCTTTTGCCGAGGGTAGTGCATCTTTAATAGATGCAGGTGGTTTCTCAGCAGGCGGTGTTGGTACTTGATAGCAGCATACCCTCCACCCAGTGGATTTTGGTGAGCCATACTCTACACCGGAGCCCATATGTTGTATTGTTTTCTTGTACATTGTTTTTGAGGTATAGCCGGGGCCTTGTAATCGGCACTTTGATGCTACTCTTCTGATTCATTTAGAGGCTTTGTAGATATGATGTGAGATGTGTTTGGGATGGGGAGAAACAAATCAAAAATGTGGTTGTAATTATTGGATGTTTCCACTTCTGAATGTGAACTTGTAATCTTTTGTCTACTATCAATTATGCTCCTTTAAGTAATGAAATACGATATTGTATCCTTTATCCTATGATTGATTTTTCTCATGTAATTTATTCTTAAATCACTCACGGGCAAGTTGGGTAGTAGGCATCAAGTAGGCTTGCTTGACTAAGATATCTCGGTTGAGCGTCGGTCGCGCTCCCCAAGGTTAGGGCATGGCAAATCCCTCCTCATGTGCCTCTAATCTCCACACTCAGAGCAAGCTTTTTGCTCACGTGGCTGGTGTGACTGAGCCTGCCTTGGATAACTGGAATGACAACTGTAAGAACCATGTGCGGGAGGTGCACTGAATGATGACTTCCCTGGATGAGTACTATGAAACCCATGGCTAGTTGGAGCACCACATGAAGTATGAAGTACTGACTGAACTAGCCTACTGGAATAGCCTCTACCATGATGACCTTTGCCCCTAAAATAGGCACCACTAAATCTTCCAGTACCACGAGGCTTCTTGGCCTCTCTGTCCTCCCTCTTCTGCAAGCGAATATGTTCCAACCTCCTAGAAATCTCTACAGCCTGGTGAAATGTAGTCTCAGTTTCAACCTCTCATGCCATCCCAAACCTAAGACCGTAGCTGAGTCTTTCAACAAATCTACGTAGCCTCTCCTTCTCAGTAGGAACCAGAAAAGCTGCATAGCGTGACAACTCTATGAACCTTATCTCATACTGGGTAACAGTCATACCATCCTGCTGCAAGTCCTCGAACTGGATATGCAACTCATCTCTCATGGTAGGTAGAATGAACTTCTCTAAGAATAGAGTTAAAAACTGAGCCACGAGAGAGGAAGTGACCCTACTGGTCTGCCCTGCTCGTATGTCTAACACCACTTTTTTGGCTGGCCCTCTTAATTGAAATAAGTTTAAATCACCTCCATCGGACTCCACAAGTCCTAAATTGTGTAGAATCATCATGACACATGTCTAAGAACTCCTGAGCATCAGCTTCGGGTATGTATGGAAGATCTATATTCTGGAACCGATCTATCCTCTTTTGCTCCTCAACAATCGTAGTAGGTCTAATCTCAGCCTTACTATAGTAACAGGATGAGCATCTCCAACTTGTGGAATAACTAGAACTCTTGGAGTCTGAAACATAGCAGTGGCCTGCTCTGGAGTGTGAATATATGGGTCTTGTGCCCCTCTAGTCTAAGAAGTAGATGAATCATAGGAAGTATACCGGAATGTGCCAAGCCATCAAAGTAACTCAAGATCCAGGCCATAATGTTCTGAAGCACTGGAGTAGCAATAAAACCTTTGGGAACCTGAGTCGGACCTGGTGGAAAATCATAAACTGGAACGTGATCCTAAACTGGAGCTACTAGTGGCTCCTCATAAACTTATCTATCATATGCACGAGGAACCGTAGGTGCTTCACTTCTCACAGGTGCCGTCGTAAGTGCTTTAGCCTAAACTCTACCTCTGTCCATTCCTTTGCCTCTCCCGGTCCTGGTATGGGGTACTGGTGCCTACTTAGCTGCTCCAAAAGAACGTATTCTCACCATCTGTGAGAGAATAAAAGAGAAAAGACTTTAACTTTAGCATGAAATATTTGCACGATAGAGTAACAAAGAAATTAAAGTTTCTTAATTGTCCCATAGCCTTTCAAAGATAAGTACAGACATCTTTGTACCGATCTGGAAGACTCTGCTAGACATTCTCATAACCTGTAGAACCTATGAACCTAGAGCATTGATATCAACTTTGTCACAATCCGAAATTCCACCAACGTTCATGATGGCCTAACATCCAAGACTAGGTAAGCTAACATATATCATAAGTCAAACAAATGAAACAAGATATAATTTAATTAAAATAGCATAAATAGCGAATAAATCTTCAACAATAGATAGCATAAGATACTACAATATCAAATCTTCCAAAACCTGGTAGTACAGATCATGAGCTCTAAAATAGAATACAAATAAAATTTCTTAATAATACAATATTGTCTGAATGTATGGATAATAATATGGAAGATAAGGGATGGGGACTCCAAGTAACTACGAGCGAACATGCTGCACTACCTCGGATCTCCCCTGACAGCTACAAAGCACACTCCTGAAGTCCGCTACTGCTAACGCTCGAACCTATACAAAATATGCAGACATATAGTATGAGTACGGGACTATGTATACTCACTAAGTATTAAGACAAACCTTGGTGAAGTAGTTTAGGTTCAAGTCATGTGATACTCACTAACCAAACAAACCCCTGCAATTTATAATTTCACAACAAGACTATAACAAAAGATGCAATATCATCAAATATCATATCAGGAGATATCAACTCAATATGGATAATTCTATCTTGACTACAAGTCATCAACATATAATAGAGGCATCGAGTCGCATCTTAAAATTCAACATAGAAAGCATATAGAGTACACAACAAGGCATAAAAGGTTCACTTGCATGGTCAAAGCTTCCATCTTTATGCTCAAAACTTACCATCATCGGATTCTATATCAGAATCAACTAACATTCGTTACCTTATCAAATTTTGCTTGTATGCCATCAAGAAAGATACATGAGAGGGTGACCCTAGGAGGATGGATCAGGATCCACACGCTGCATGATATAGAATTAGTGTCATACTAGTAACAATATTATCATAACTGCACGACAAATATCGCGGGCGACAACAATAACAATACCATTATAACTGCAAGGCAATGACCTCGTACCACAATAATAACAATATTGTAACAAATGCACGGAAGAAACCTCATGCCCTTTCCAAATCAATCCGCTCAATATGCCAATATATGCCATAAACATAACAATCCGAAATAATATTTCATCATAAGAGAGATATATGCTCATAATTAATCAATAAGGTACACAAGGACATAATAATAATAATAATAATAATAATAATAATAATAATAATAATAATAATAATAATAATAATAATAATAATAATAATAATAATAATAATAATATTAATAATAATAATAATAATAATAATAATAATAATAATAATAATAATAATAAAATACGGATGTGCGCATGATATGTGAAACAAGACAACAACTAAATCAAATATAACCACAATTTCACA